ACGTGATAATGCATTGGCAGGTTCCTTGCAACCTCTGCAAGATTAATTTTTTTTATGGAGAAAGTTCATTACTCCACGCAAATTCCTGATTGTCAGAATGCTCTTATTATCAGCGAGCGTTTGAGTTTATTCCAGACCAGGAAAAAGACTTTTCTCATGAAATGCAAAAAAGTTCCCTCCCAAGGATCCGAACCTCTCCGAAAGGTCTACCATTGATACGTGTTGCTGCTCCTCACAATCTTTGCGGCTCTGATGTCAGAAACGCGGACGTCAGCGCGATTATAAGACTGCTCCGATCCAGCTGAAGGCGCGAGAGCAGCGACTGCTGGTACGGGCACGTGCTGAGAAGGCCTGAGGACCACCCAATAAGGAAGGCATTGGAAAGTAGAGGGCAAGCGACCACGAGGAGCCCCAAAGAAAAGATGGAGGGACGTCATCAAGAAGGACCTCACTGAAGTGAAAGCCACGGCAGAAGATGCAGTGGATCGGAACAAGTGGCGACGTATAACAAGACAGTGGACCCTGCGACGGCGCGGGACTAACGCTAGGGAGAAGAAGATTGTGCTCAAAGGGCACGGCTATTCATGCAAATTGGCTAGCAACAGCGCTCGACTCTTTGTCTCTTCATGTGAATTATGATAAACCTTCATAATTCATTTCAGATAACGTTCTGCGAAAAGGCAGATAAAATCAGCGTTCATAAACGCGTCCCGTGATATGTCTTTACAAATGGCCACTTCGACCTGGCGACCATCCCTAGTCAGTTGCCGGGGAAGGGGATGTATTGTGCGCCTCAAATGGGAAAGCTCATCAAAATTTCATGGAAGCCAAGTACATCGTTGCTCTGTTTGAACCGAACTCGTTAGGAGTGTTCCGTTGCGATTAGTAAGGGCTCACTGAGAGGATATGCTGCCGGAACGTGAGCGTGCTTCCCTTGTGATGCAGTTCAATGGTCACTGTTGAACTGTGCAGACTTTTCGAGAAAGTCAAACGCAGGAATCAGCACTAGAGATCCGATGTCTGTACGTGGTGAATGATCCAGCTATTCAAAAGTTCTCTATCTGCATTTCCGTTCAAAATCGCCTCATATGCATTTGACGCATGTTTTACTCTATAACTCGCTCAGAAAATGAGCGCAAGGCTAGCTCGGCGAAGCTATGCCGGCACACAAGTAGCCCCGGCGTCAGCTGGGCGATCTGACTGGTCTACTAATCACGGCAGCTCAACAATACAAGACTCGCTCGTAAAGAGGTGGACATCGTCCACCTGGTCATCACAAAGACGAACATTCATTTCTAGTGGTAGCCTGATGGTGCGGTCGTCCCGCTAATAACTCTCTCCACTCCAAATGGGAAGAGTGAGGTGGTAAGGGCATATAGCTGAACCAGCACGTGAGAACCCTTGAGCCCGCGCCTCATCACCTTATGCATGTCAAACGTTGGTGCGGCCGGAAGGTTCTAGGCATTTTCCATGAAATTTTCTTTCTTCTTCACTTTCACTTGTAAGCACCTGCTGCGTTTTTATTAC